GCCAAAATATATAAAGAACTCAAAAAAACTAGACATCGATATACCAAATAATCCAATTAAAAATAAGGTACACATCTAAATAGAGTGTTCTTAACAGAAGAATCTCAAATGGCTGAAAGACAGTTAAGGAATAATTTCAAATTCCTTAGGCATCATGATAGAGCAAATGGCAATGACAATAGATGGCAATTCACACCTCTCAGAATGTCTAGGATCAAAACAGTGGCCACAGCTTATGTTGGGGAGCGTATGTGGAGTAAGGGGAGCACTCCTCCACTGCAGGCCAGAGTTCAAACTTGTGCAACCCCTCTGGAAATCAGTATGGCAGTGTATCTGGAAACTGGGAATTAACCACCTCAAGACCCAGCAGAAGACAGTTTCTTCATCAGGATCAAGAAGAAAATGAACAGCATCGTTAATGTAAGACTCTGCTCTGCACCCTAAGCATTTATTTCAGGGATGGTGTGTCAAAAGCATAATGGCGAAGGGTGGGAGGAACAAGCACACTAAGACAGTTTACAGGACCGCACACGGGGCAAACCACTGCTGCTGCTATCTTACCTTGTCCTATCCAGAAAGATTTGAAAACCCCTCTGTTGGGATCCTCAGAGCCCTGTGCTCAAGTGTAGTCACCGTATCCTGGGTGCAATCCACACTACAGAAAGACCACCGAGTATTTAGCTTACACAGTGCAGATGTTATGGTTTCTGTTTACCAAAGCCTCATGCTCATTGTTCAACAGACCACGGAGGACTTGCCAGCCGGCAGTGCCAATCAGCTCTGAAAGTGGCAAACTGCGCACCAACTGCCATACCCCTGCCCTGCTCTGACCCCTGCCACTCAATCTAGCTTGTACTTTCTTGATGAAAAGGCCACTCACTCACCGTCCAGATTTCTAGACTCACAGAGGAAAGATCTCAGGACTCCCAGGTGAGTTCCAAAGCCTGGGGAGACCTCTCTTAGCTTCCTGCAAACAACCTCTTGAGGAAAAAGAAAAAAATTGAAGTGTGAGCCAGGAGCAGAGAGATAATAATCTAGCAACTTTTTCCAAGTAGAGGCAGCCTAGGCCCCTCCTCTGAGAGACTGGGCTGGTACAAGCCGTCGTCCGGCTCCGCCCCTCAGCTTCTGTGACCAGTTAGAGTCTCCCATGCCGAGAGCACAACCTATAGGAGAGGCTGGAGGAGGAGCTCTTCTCTCTAAGCAAGTGGCCAAACCCTGGGGACTGGGACCCAGAGCTGGAGAGCCACAGCCTACTTTACCTCATCACTATGTCCCTGCAGGTAAGCCAGATCTGGGAAGGCTTTGCAGGAACAACTCTCCAAGGAGTGCTCTGATGGAGCGAGAGGAGGCATGACGGCTCTGGGGCAGGGCAGAGGCAAGTGGAGCGCTCAGGGGCGCCCAGCTGTGACCCTGCAGTCACTCCCCACACCTGCCTAAGTGTCTTGTTATTTCACCTTAGACTGCACTGCGCCATCTGTTGACAAGGACCCAGGTTCTCCATAGCAACCCCTCTGGGCTCCAGGGATGGTTTAAGTTACACAGACCTGAAAAATTGACAAGCTTCCCTCCTTCACCTCTCTCTCAACAACTCGGGCAAGCAGGTGACATCCACAGGGGTCTCAAGTCCCCTTGCTCTTGGGACCTCCAGAGGTTCTCATAGGCAAGGGTTTGGTGGCTGGCATGGCCTTGGCATGGCTAGTTCCTCTATGAAGTATAACCTACCGTTTTATTGACAGAAGTGGAGAGAATACAGATGAATAAATTAAAAACCAGGAGAGCCTTCCCCTAGTAGACAGCCACATGGTAGGTTGCTTTCTTAGGTCTTTTTTCCATTTGTGTGATTATAGGTATGTGAGCATTATACATTCACGATTTGCTTATGTAGCGGTTACCTTAGGAACACTTCCTCACTATGTCACCTTCTAAGATGCACATTGTTAATGCTTACCATATTCTATCATGAGTATAGCCAACTTCTTTAACTATTTCTTCAGGCAAGATGATATCACGGCTGAATGACATTCCCCAGAGACATTGTGGTTTGCATCTCCCTCTTAGACTGTGACATGTTAATTCTCCCTCCCTCTCTCCCTCCCTCCCTCCCTCCCTCCCTCCCCCCTCTCTCCCTCCTCCCTCTCTTTCTCCCTCCCTCCCTCCCTCCCTCCCTCCCCCCCCCCCTCTCTCTCTGTGTGTGTGTGTGTGTTTGTACACCTCAGTTATCGTCTTCTCTCAGAGCAGAGGAGTGGGGCCAGGTGCCTTCTGGCAAACTTGGTTATGTGAATTCAACCCTTGGCACCCATGTAGTTGACAGAGAACTGACTGTTGTCTTTGTTCCCTAAGCTGCACATCCACACCATGGTCCCTGTGCATGCGCACTCACAAAACAGGTGTTGGTGGCCTGTGCCTTTAATCCAAGCACTCAGGAGGCAGAGGCAGGTGGATCTCAGTGAGTTCAAGGCCATCCTGGTCTACAAATCGAGTTCCAGGAGAGCCAAGAGTGTTATGCAGTAATCCTGTCATCAAAAACAAAAACAAAAAAGAAGGAAACAAAGATTCTAGTTTTAAAACACATGCTTACTTGATATCAGCATCAGTATGATCAAAGAATGCTTGAATTATAGCCACTGCAATTGTTTATACTTGAATAAAGTATTACAGATGAACTTTTGTTAAAACGTATGCTTATTATTTCAATTTGAAATCCTTACAAATGTAATAATATAACAATAAATACAATACGTTCTGGGGGAGAGCGGTAGTTCAAGCCGGGTGTAGTAGTACACACCTCTACTCACAGCACTCAGGACTTGGAGACAGAAGGATCAGGAATCAACATCCATGCTTCGCTACACAGCAGCTTCAAAGCTACACTGTACTAATGAGGCCCTGTCTCAGAACAAAACACACACCAAAACAAAGTAGTTTGAGCAGAAAAGAAAGATGAAGGCAGGTGGGAAGTCCATTTAAGAAATAAAGGGGATTTGGCTTGTGTGGTTCAATTGGTAGGGCACTTAGTATGCGGGAGGTCCCTGGAGTCATTTGCCACCACTAGAAAAACTGAAGGGGGGTGGGATGTTTTAAGCCTGGATGTTCTGGGATAGCCTGGGCTTAACACACATGCACACACACACACACACACACACACCAGTCTATACTGTTAGTTCATTTGCACACTGAGAGAACGGGAAGTAAGGACTTGTTACAAAGACGATACCCTGGAAACCCTGGCAGGTAATAAAGATGTGGTATTTTTATAAATTGTACATGGGTCTAAAATTATTTCAAAAATCAAAATTGTAAATAAAGTAAACAATATACTGAAAAGCCAACATCTAGTAGCTGGTTAGCATATTTAAAGCTCTTCTCTCTTCAAAATGGAAATGAAAGAAGATAGACATTATGTACCTCCTGGTAGCTGTTAGTGGCTCACTAGTTGAAGGGACAGTAAGGGTGCATTCACTATTGTTCTAGGAGTGAAAACACAGATGGAATTCCTAATTCAGTTATAATCTCCCAATTTTATATGTAAATTGTAATATAGGCCTTTTGTTTATTTTATTTAACTCAGGCTAGCCCCAACCTTTGCCTGATCCTACTCCCTCAGCTTCTCTGTTGCTAGGATTACAGGTGTTGCTTCCACACCTGGCGGGACTGTCACCTTACTCAGACACGTTTCCTTGCTCGAAGATGGCGCTAAGGCAGTGGCCTGGGTGTTGTGTGTTTTCTGGGCAGTAGATGCAGCTCAAAAGTAAAAAGCTTGCCAGAGACCCTAGGTTTGATTCCAAGACACAACAAAAAATGGTGGGGCAGCAGGGGAGTGGTGATGTTTACACCCAGAACACACACACACACACACACACACACACACACACACACACACACTTGTGTGACTCAAATAACTGAGGGATTTATCTTCCTCATGCAGTCCTTCATCAAGGGAGACTTGCTCAAAGGGATTTACCAGGCTGATATGTAAGCTGACTGCTCAGTTCACTCTCTACAAAAGTGAAGGGAGGCAAACTGTGAGCCCCCTTCAGAGGCTGTCTTCAGAGGGGTGAGCTTTGAATGGAAGGATCCAGAGGCCATGGGTCATTCTTTGAGATTCTGTCCTGTGCCCATTATGGGAATCATCACAGCCACAGGAAGGGTGGGGACAAGAGGGCATTGGAGCACACTCGTGACTAGAAGAGGGGCATTGTTCGCAAGTGAGAGGAATCACAACGACACACATTCAATAAGAATGTGGGACACTCACATAGCCAAAATAGAGATGCCAGCCACACAGAGTCCAGCTCCCTGGGCATGGGAACATAAGGAGTGTGCCATTCCCTTTGCCCAGAATGCTTTGAAATTCACTGCCAATGGCAACACATAAAGATATATCACTGTGGTAATATTCTGATCCACCCACCAGGATCTAATAATGGTCTGTGATCAGGTTCTTGCCAACAGTCAGCAGACAAGGGTAAAGAGTTGTGTCTGCCCTTTATTGTGGATGATCAGGGGAACAAACTGATGTGATTCGACCCACCCTTTATGTTCGACCCTGGTGAATTCTGTCTGGATGGTCAGGACTGCCTTTGCCAGCTCTTGTCTTCTCACTGGATACCTGTGCACCCTTTCCCAGGAGTCACTGCAAGCACCAGCCTCTGAGGCAGGCTCCTCCAGATGTGTTTCCCAGTAGCTATAGTCCGGCTCTGTGCTCACACCAATGACTGCTAACCAACTTTTTTCTTTCTAAAGTGATTGCTCTTCAGCATTTGTTATAGAGGGAGGGAGGAGAGCAGAGAGGGGAGGAGAGGGAGATATTGCAAAACAAATTTTTCCTCGTGATAAGACACATTTGCCACTCAAACCAATGTAAGCTAAACAGCTTTACTGGAAGACAGTTGGCATGAGACTTACAATAAAACAATTAGATTTCATGTGCATGTCTTACTTGCAGGTGTGTATACACACCACATATGCACGTTTTGTGTTCTTGTTGTCTTTTGTCTTAGGCTAATTTTGAGCAGGCCGCACAAGACGTGAGGAAGCTGAAAAGAAGACCGGAAGATGAAGAACTCAAAGAACTCTACGGGCTGTACAAACAGTCCATCCTCGGAGACATCAACATTGGTGGTACCTGGTGCTTGTTTTAGACAAATAGATGGGCTTGCTTGAGTGTCTGTAGAAGTGTACAGTGAAAAGTAACATTGCAACTCTCTCCTCCTCTTGACAGCATGTCCAGTAATGTTAGATATGAAGGGCAAGGCCAAGTGGGAAGCATGGAGCCTCCAAAAAGGAGGCTTTTTAACTCTTAAAAAAGATAAAAAAAAACCCTTCTTAATCTCGACTTACACAAGTCAGTTAGATAACGTGTTTTTATCTCTCTAGGTTTGTCGAAGGAAGATGCCATGAGTGCCTATATTTCTAAAGCAAGAGAGCTGATCGAGAAATACGGAATTTAGAACTTGACAGGGGAGACAGATCTCCTTTGAAAGCTTTCATAATAGCCACATGGTGTGTAGGGGGAAATGCATTGACAACTGTATAAATCTTGTGTATTTTCCTAATAGCATGCATTCTAATACTTTGGACTATGTCAACATAATTACCTAATTTTACTTGCTTGTGAAAGGTGACTTTAAAAAGTCATTTTGTAGTCTGCATATAAACTTAAATAAATATCTGTTTCCTTTTTGCGTTTAAGTCTGTGTATGGGTGTTCATATGTGTGTGTTACACATCATGTATGCGCGCATGTGGAGTCCAGAGAATCACCTTGGCTGTTATTCTAAGATATGTTATTTGCTTCCTGTGAGGCAGGGTCTCTCCTTGCTTGGAGCTCAACAAGTATGCTCGACTGACTGCCCCAGATATCCTCTTCCCTCTGCCTCCCCAGGACTGGGGTTACAATGTGTTCCATCATGATTGGCGATCTGGGGCTTGAACTCAGGTCCTCATGTTTATAAGGCAAGCACTTTAGTGACTGAACCATCTCCCAGCCTCAGTGTTTGTTTTCTTGACTTAATCTGTTCATATACGATGAGTTAGTGCTACTGGGCAAAAAGAAAAGTTTGCTCAGAATGAATAGCAGGCAGACTATTCTGGATGCTTCAGGAAGTGGAACCAGGAGAGTCATGGGTTAAGAACAACCTAACTACATGAGACCCTGTGTCAAAACTGGAAAGCCTAATACTGAAGGAGAAGGTGAGTAGGTTGGAGAAACAGAACAGTTCAGTTCCTTTGCTGCACCGTGTACTGCGGGCTCCATGAATGTGCGCACTCTGGAGTGATGGGTGGATTTGCCTCCTGGCCACTTCCTGGCTTCCTATATGATATGGACAAGTGACCTAACCAGGCTGTGGTTTGGCTGCCCATGGAAGGGCTCTGAGTGCCCGCCAATCACTGCCGGGGCAGCAGGAACACAGGACAGCTGGGTTGTAAGCACCCCGAGGTCTTCCTATCACGATGGACAGTAATTGTTTAGTATTGTATTTTCTTAAAAAGCTCTTTCTTATGCAGTAGGTCTAGTGTATATTTCTATAGATTCTATAGACTACATTACAACTTGAGTCACAGTGTGGTGATGGAGAAATGATCAATACCTTCTGTCCATCACTCTTGCCCCTAGAATAATGCAAGAGGCTTCAGGTGTAACCCCTCCTGAAGACACTTTGTTGATAAAACTTTATATAAAAGTCAATCAAATTAGATTTTAATTAAAAGATAAAGGACACTAGCAGAAGTTTTCTTCCTCTAACAATATTTTTATTTATCCTTTGAACTTTGCCTAAATGCATACATGTGTTTTGATCATATCCACCCGTCACTGGCCTTTCCAACCCGCCCCCCACGGATGTCCTTCAATGTGTACCCCTCCCAATTCTGTGCCGCTCTTCTCATCTTCTTTGTAAACAGCGCACTGAGTCCAATTCGAGCAGCCTGCTGTGCCACCAGGGAGCACACGGAGCATGAGTAACCGACCAGTGGGGTGCACACGGAGCATGAGTAACCGACCAGTGGGTTCCCAGGGAGCATGAGTAACCCACCAGTGGGTGCACACGGAGCATGAGTAACCCACCAGTGGGAGAACACGGAGCATGAGTAACCGACCAGTGGGTGCACACGGAGCATGAGTAACCCACCAGTGGGTGCACAGGGAGCATGAGTAACCCACCAGTGGGTACACATGGAGCAGGAGTAACCGACTACTGGCCATATCCCCCAAAGAAAAGCAGCCCCTTCCTGCTGCAGCTGTCAGCTACAGCAGCTCCTCAGCTTCCTGACCCTTAGCATTAGCCATTTCCCAAGATAGAGAGATGCTCCATGAAGAAATCCATCAATGTGCACCTTCCAATCTCTGGACACTAAAGTGCTCCATCTCAGGAGCTAGAAGGACAGCTTGTGATTGGTTTGCATATTGAAGGCCCATCTAAAAGCAAGCAAGTAACGACACTTCCAAACACTTGGTTATATAGTTCTTGATGAAGTTCTCGTTGTTAGGTTCCAACAGATAAAAGTGGTCACCTGGCAGCATGTGGCTGTCAACCTTCCCGCTGGTTATGTCTTCCCAACCTAAGGAATATACAGCATTGTATTTAGTAACCAATGGCATCAGCCAATGACAGCAGAAGACATACTTCCAGGTACTATTTCACTAAAAGCTGACACTCAGTGATAGAGTTACCTCCAGGGTCTCAGGTTCTGTGTATCCCGTGTTTTTTGTTTCTTTAAGAGCTGCCAGAATTCAGTGGTGTGACCCGTATCTTACATTTTATAAGAGACCAGCATCTCTTTGTTTACACACAGGAAATCTTAGGCTGATTTTCTATGCGTTTCAGTGAATGTTAGCTGACATATGCCGAGAACCCTCCAACACATCTTTCAAGAAAATACCCCGAAATATAAAAGCAATTTCACCTTTTATGTCCTTTACTGTATCTTCAGATCCAAAAAAGCATGTTATGTCCTGAGAAAGAAGAGCCTCCGAGGGCGTGTCAAAGCTGTAAATGTGAAAAGGCTGTTTGTAATTTCATTTTTTTTTATTGGGTTTTCGAGGCAGGGTTTCTATGTGGGTTTGGAGCCTGTCCTGGAACTAGCTCTTGTAGACCAGGCTGGTCTCGAACTCACAGAGGTCCGCCTGCCTCTGCCTCCCATGTGCTGGGATTAAAGGCATGTGCCACCACCACCCTGCTTGTAATTTCATTTTAACATCCCAGTCTTCTCCTCTTCCCGACTTCACTGAAAGGAAACAGGGTATACAGCCTTGCTTCTTCCTCTTCTTTGGCTGGTCCCAACAAGGAAAATAATCACAGCGACTTCCTCTCTCCATTAGAACAGACATGAAGTTCATGGGGAAGGAGACAGAGCTGGGAGAAGTCACAGGCTTTGATCTCTCCCAGCTGAAAGTGGGCTAGTGGTCTGCACCTTGGTGATGGAGATGGAAAGGGCCGAGAGATGCCTGTGGGCCTCGTGTGATATATTTTAAGAAGCTGAGAGCTAAGGAGTGGGGAGGGCAGGGCAGATTTGGAAACAGGAAGGAAGGAAGGGAGATGAGAGAAGATTCAAGAGCAGATTGGAAAGCGCCTTTGGAGTGTGGAGGAAGCTAACTGTGAGGAGACAGCCCAGTGTGAGTCCCTGAGAAGAGTGTGAATGTTGAGGGCACTTCTCACGTGCAGAGGGCCATCCCTGGGTGACTCTATGTTTGTGCTACTCAGGCTACTTGGAGTGAAAAAGTTCAATGGGTGCCATGCTTGTTGTATATTCCTTTCAAAGTGACTTTTTCTGGGGCTGTGGAGATGGCTCCACAGTTTCTGCTCTTGCAGAGGACCCAGGGTTTGGTTCCTGGTGCCCACCTGATAGCTGGAAACTTGTCTGTGTCTTCACTTTCAGGGGAACCAATGCCCTCTTCGGGTTTCCTCAGGCACTGCATGTATATGACACTTAGATCCATGCAGACAGAAGACCCACACACATACAATAAATCTTTAATGTGACTTTGGGTAAGAAATGGGCTAAACCTAGCGTGATATCATTTAATCATTATAACCCCATAAGGTGTTACTAACGTTTCACTGCATAGAAGAAACCCAAACTCGTAAATGCATATGCTCAAAATCTCACAGCTGCTAACAACCTGGATAGAAAATTTATTTTAAAGGATGGGCTCTGAGGAGGGCATGTTTGTCCACTGAGTACATTTTCATTATGAAGGCTAGTTTTTCATACATAATTTCATTAAATTTACATGATGATATAAACCTGGAAACAACTGAGATGCCCTTCAATGGAAGAATGGATGAAGAAAGTATGGAGTATATACATATTAGAGTACTACTCAGCAGTAAAAAACAAGGACTTCTTGAATTTTGCATACACATGGACGGAAATAGAAAACACTATCCTGAGTGAGGTAAGCCAGACCCAAAAAGAGGAACATGGGATGTACTCACTCATATTTGGTTTCTAGCCATAAATAAAGGACATCGAGCCTATAATTCGTGGTCTTAGAGAAGCTAAACAAGAAGGTGAACCCAAAGAAAAACATATAAGCATTCTCCTGAATATTAACCTTCATCAGGCGATGAAAGGAGACAGAGACAGAGACCCACAATGGAGCACCGGACAGAAATCTCAAGGTCCAAATCAGGAGCAGAAGGAGAGAGAGCACGAGCAAGGAACTCAGGACCGCGAGGGGTGCACCCACACACTGAGACAATGGGGATATTCTATCGGGAACACACCAAGGCCAGCTGGCCCGGGTTTGAAAAAGCATGGGATAAAACCGGACTCGCTGAACATAGCAGACAATAAGGACTACTGAGAACTCAAGAACAATGGCAATGGGTTTTTGATCCTACTGCACGTACTGGCTTTGTAGGAGCCTAGGCAGTTTGGATGCTCACCTTACTAGACCTGGATGGAGGTGGGTGGTCCTTGGACTTCCCACAGGGCAGGGAACCCTGATTGTTCTTTGGGCTGACAAGGGAGGGGGATTTGATCAGAGGAGGGGGAGGGAAATGGGAGGTGGTGGCGGGGAGGAGGCAGAAATCTTTAATAAATAAATACTAAAAAAATATTTAACATATGAACATAAAAAAATAAATTGTTTCTCAATTAAAAATTATTTGTGCCTAGGCATAATCCCAGCAGTCAGGCTGCTGAGGCAGGAGGATAGCAAGTTCAATACCCATCAGGCCTAGAGCAAATTCATGACTAGCCTGGGCTACACAGTAGGTTCATATATCAGAAACCCAGGAGCTGGAGCAGTGCCGCAGTAGGAGAATGCTTGCTTAGGCTGCACAAAGCTGCGGGCTATGCACCTCCCACACCACCCAGAACTCATAAGCTGACCTGTATGACTGTCCCAGTGTGATGTTTGGTTACTATGAAGACTATAGCGAGGAAGTGACGCTATCCACCGTCTCATACACTTGGCCTTGTGATGGAGGGAACATTTAGAACCTGCTGTCCTCATATCAGCTGTACGATATGACGCCCAATGGATCTTGTTAAAACTGTGTTCTTGTCAAGTGGAGCTCAGGGCTCTGCTCAGTGACTCCCCATTCCTCCCCTCCCCTCTGGCAGATGGATGCCTCCATCTATCCCTACATCTATCTGTTGACTTTTATAGATCCATATATGCAAGGCTGTGCCATGTTATCAGATATATAATTTGTAAATACTTTCTCCAGATCTGTAGGTTTCTTTGTTGATTGTTTTCTTTGCTGTGTTTTCAGATCATATAAAAAATTTATCACTTAAAAATAGTCATGAAATTTCTCTGTATATTTCCTTCCAGAAGTTTCCTAAATTCAGACCTATGGTTTCTATGGTTTCCTTAAATTCATTCTGAATTACATATATATATATATATATATATATATATATATATATATTTCACAAGATTTTTGTACATAAACATACACATATATTATTGTATGTGTGTGTAAAGTAAAAATCCAATTTCCTACTTTTACATTGGATATCCCATATCCCAAAATTGTTTATTAATTAAAGAGACTGTACTGGGCTAAAGATGGCTCAGTGGGCAAAGATGCTTGCAACCAAGCTTCATTACCTGAGTTCAATTCCTGGGACCCACACTGTGGAAGAAAAGAACCAACTTTCAAAAGTTGTTATCTGACTTCCTCAAGTATACTTATGCATGCGCATATACTTGCCTCCCACACTGAGAGTAAATAAATTAACGAATAAATAATAGTTTAAATGTATTAGATCGACCTTTCCCCATAGTATATTCTCTTTATATTTTGTTATTTAGCATAAATAATGTAATTTATTTGTGCCCCTTCTAATTCTCTGCATTAGTTGGTATGTCTTTTCTTATGCCAGTACTATGCTGTTTCAATTTCTAAAGCTTAGTTTTTAGTTAATAAAGTTTGAAAATGATTTTAGGTGATAAGGGAAAGCAGAGGCCCAGAGGTGTCTCGTTGTCCCAGCTCTTGGCAGCCCCTTGCCCTCCCAATGGAAGCTTCTTTCCACGTTACTGCTTGAATGACAAAGGCAGAGGGATGGTGAAGACAGCTGAACACAAACTGATCTTTCTGTGCCAAGAACGTCTTAAAACACTGCCCTTAGCAAACCTCAAGACGACAACATAGAGTTGCCGACTGTAGCTGCCGTTGCCACCGACTCTTCCACAGACCTGCGTGTGTTCTCTTGTTGCCTTCCTTCCTATGGCTCTGTAGTGTGATTGGAAATCAGGTGTGGCGAGACCCGGTGTCGCATTGTTTTTTGTTTGCTTATTTGTTTGCTTTTGTTCAGGATTGCTTTAGAAATTTGGTCTTTTGTGCTTCCATGTGAATTTTAAGAATTATTTCTCTATTCCTATGAAGACTATCACTAGAATGTTAATGGGCACTAAACTGATTTTTTAGATTGTAACTGAATACTAGCTCTTTAAAATGTGTTCTCTCTCTCTCATTCATTCATTCAGTGGGTATTTCTTAAATCTCGACTCTGGGCTATTTTAGAAACACAAAACAGCTTATCCTGGGGAGACAATCAATCAGATACAGAGAAAGGGAGAAGGACTTGGAGCGTCTGGCAGGGGTAGGGGCACCACGAACTTTGTGACAGACTGAGGACGGGTGACGAATGGAGACAGATGAAATGGTGGGGCTGTGTCGGTTTTCAAGATGACTGCTCAACTTTTGTAACTGTCAACTTCCACTGGCAAGTAGCATGCCTCCTCCCCTCCCCTCCCCAGCACACACACTGCCCCAGTGCTAGTTCTGGGCTTTGTAAAAGAAATAAATATGTTTTTAAATGTCTTAGCCCAGGGGAGTCAGGCCTAGCCAGGCATGAGAATGCAGGAGACTAAATGCTGACCTCAAAGTGATTTCCCTTGGGAACTTAAGATTAGGAAGCCTCTCTGACAACAGACTCAGGGGTCTGGGGAAGGATTTGATGTGTTAACAATCAGTCTGATCAGAAAAACCAAGCATGGAGACAGATACCCTCCCAGAGAAGGGGATGGAGAGGGGTGTGGAGTTCTGGAATTCATTCACTGAATAGTGAACCCAGCCAGCCTCTGCTCCCAGCTCTCGCCTTCCACACTTAGTAAGTAGCCAATCCACTCTTGATGATACCTAGAATGTGATGGCAATAATTTGTACAATGTATATTTATTATGTGACAAAACATGCAATCATAAATAATCATGAATATTTTTAAAGAAAAAAAATCTGCCAATCACCTTTTAAAGATACAATTCCTGTGCCCCAAATCCATTCCAAGCCAGAAAAATATCCCAAGAGGCCTCAGAGCACACGAATGCACTGCAGCCTTTAGAGTATTAGATTCTCGTATGCACAGCCTCTGTGAGCTGCCGATTTATATTATTCTTTCTCTTCTTTTGGGGGGAGGTTTCAAGACAGAGTTTCACTATGTAGCCCTGTTTGTCCTGGAACTCATTCTGTGGACCAGGCCTGCCTCGAACTCAGAGATCCACCTGCCCCCTGAGTGCTTAATGTTGAGATTAAAGGAATGCACCACCCCCACCTGGCCTGTATTTTTCTATAAATATAAACTCAAGCACACGTGCATGTGTGCATGCGCGCGCGCGCGCACACACACACACACACACAGAGTTACTTACACGAAGTTTTTCACAATGGCAACATCTGCTTTCAGAATGGGAATGCACTGACTCAGAACATCCTGGTTATCAATGAGATGCTTGGGGGTGCCTCCAAAATTCAGAAGGTAGTGCCTGACTTGTTCTTCTGACAGTGTATTCAGTTCAGGAATTGGATGCCGGGATTTTGACTTGAAACATCAACAAACACAAGGTTGATCTTTCATGAAACACACTGGCCCCCCAACCCAAGCCTGCTTCCTTAAATCCAGGAGGAATAAGAAAGTGTCCTAAGAACTTTAGGATCAGAAGACCACCAAAATGGCACTCCCAAGTTAGAATGCTGGGCCTGTGCCAGTTTCTGCAGAGGAAGCAAAGAAGGTCAGTGCTGGCAAGAAGGAACCAGGAGTCACAAGACTGGCTTAAAAAGTCACAGGCGACCCCAATTTGGGCATCATGTTAAGATTCTTTCCCAGCAATGATTGGTTTCTCTCCTGATGTTGGTAAGTTCCCAACTGAGGTAATATGCTGAGGACAGAAAGCCGGGACGGATAGCACTAGCTCCAGGGGGACAGAAAGCGGGGACTGACAGCACTAGCTCTATGGGGACAAAAAGCATGAACGGAGAGCACTAGCTCTAGGGGGACAGAAAGCAGGGACAGACAGCACTAGTTCCAGGCAGACAGAAAGCAGGGACAGACAGCACTAGCTCCAGGGACAGAAATAAAGAGACTGTATACAGGAAGAAACTGAAGTTCATTTCTGAGGTTGGAAAGTACATTGAAAGATCACAGGGGTTTTCAGTAGCACATGGTAGATCCTGTCATCACCCCCAGGCTGGACCAAAGGAGAACAATTACCCAATTGTTAATACCCCATTTCCCTCTCCTTCATTTCCCACTCCTTCATTTCCCCCATCCAAAGAAAATCAGAACACGTACGTGGGGGGCATATGCACTGGACACAAAGAAATGCAGAGGCTCCATTTTGTATTTCTCCTTGAGGCTGAGTGCGGTCATGAAAGCAATGTAGGATCCCAAACTAAACCAGGGAAGAGACAAACATGATGAATAGCGTTGGACAAAACTCATGGTGACCAGGTGTCACAAACACTGCAGTGACTAAAGGATGGGCAAAAGCTACCTGGCTGATTTACTGTTTTGTAAAATGTTTATTACCACTGTGTCAACACAGTAAGCGTTTCCGGGCTAAGAGACGGCTCAGTCATTAAAGCACTGACCTCGTGGATATGGGGGTTCAGTTTCTGAACCCAGAACCAATGTCAAAAGCTCAGTTCAGCTGCTCAGGCCTGAAATCTCAACAGTGCAGAAATGAGAGACAAAGTGAAGGGGATCCTTGAAAGAGGGTGGGCCTGCTAGCTTAGCGTATGTGGCAGAGTTTAAGGACATTGGGAGACCCCATCTTAAGTAAAAGGTAGTCGGTGACGAAGGACCAACAACATTCAAAGTCATTGTCTGGCTTTCCCATGTATTCCAGGCACGTACACCCATACACACCACATATGAGTGTGCACACCACCACATATGAGTGTGCGCACACACCACATATGAGTGTGCATACACACCACATATGAGTGTGCACAAACAGAGAGAGAGACAGAGACAGACAGACAGACAGACAGACAGAGAGAGACACCTTTCTGAGTACAACAGAAGTTAAATACCTGTGGCCAAAAAATGCAAATGCTTTATCCTGGACCACGGGAAGCAGAGCAGGCACAATTTCGTCAACTATCTGGTAGATGTCACTTGCGAACAGTTCCTGGGATCGAGTTTCTCTTCCAGCCAGCCTTACAGAATGCACTGGAAGAGAAAATCACTTACACACAGACAAGAAGACTCTGAGACGCTGTAAACAGGTTAACACAGATGGATGAGATGCCATGGCCTTGTAAAAGGCCTTATATTCACATGATGTCACCAATTTCAAAGAAGCAGATAATGGTCAAGCACGGCATGGTGGCTCTGAGGTCAAGCTTGGTTCTCACTTGATTGGATCTGGAGGTCACTACAAAACGTGCTTCTGATGGATGTGTGACAGTTTTACCAGGTGATTTCCCACCTGCATTCCTGTTTGAGTTCCTGCCCTAACTTTTCTCAACAATACACTCTATTCCGGAAGTGTAAGCCAAATAAACCCTTTTTACCCCCAAGCTGCTTTTGGTCATGGTCTTTATCAGAGACACAGAAAACAAACTAAACAGCATCAAATAAATGAGAGTACCTACAATAATGTCATTAAAATTCATTTATGTATGAATCACAGCATTTTCTTCTTTCAGTAAATGAAGAATTTGAGCTGAGCTAAGTACAGCTGGAGCCACAAAGAAAAGATTACGAATCTGTGTGTGTGTGTGAGTGTGTGTGTGTGTGTGTGTGTGTGTGTGTTGTATTTCAAGACAGGTTTTGTAGTCCTGGCTATCCTAGAACTATCTCTATAGATCAGACTGGCTTTAAACTCACAGAGATCCATGTGCCTCTGCCTCCCAAGTGCTGGGACTAAAGGTGTGCGCCACCACTAACAAGAAGGACTTAAATTTCTTGAGGGAACAGAGAAAAGCTGAAAAGACATTTACAAGAAGATAACTTATAAAGGGAAAATGGCTGAAGAAAGAAAGGTATGGAGCTAAAATTCTATAGAAACATGAAGATATCAAAGCATAAGATATAGAACCAAGAACTTATACAAACAAGGTCCCAATGTTCATGGTGTCAACACAAGAGGGCACTCGTGAACTAAGATATTGGGTTAGCAAGGCATCACCCCATACCCAGCTCTAGGTTAGGAGGAAAACATAGGGCAAACCTAACACCCAATACAGACAGGGTAGAACAGACATCTCTGGTCAGTGAAAATATTTATTAAGGAACTCATGGAGGAGAAAAAACAATGCTCCCAAGTGAATTAACTCCAATAAGAAATGTAAAAATAATCTTTGTAATTTGGAAATTTAAAATCCTGACTAGAAAAAGACAAATATTTGCACAAAGATCATCAGGAAAAAATGTTGAATAAAAAGACAAAAGTTATTTTTTCAAAATCAAAAAATAAATCCTTTCCTTGTGATCAGACAGGGCAAAGTATCTGTGGATACAGAGAACCGGAATGAAAGAACTAGGGAAAGAACAGAAAACAAAGTAGGTTGCCGGGAGGCTGGAGAGAAGGCTGTTAAGAGTCTGGCTGCTCTTCCAGAGAACCTGGGCTTGATTCCCAGCACCCACACAGTGGCTCCAGTCCTGGGAAATCCAACATCAGGCCTCCGGGGGTACCTCACTGACATGGGACAGACACCAATACAAATAAAATAAAAGGAAATCATGACAAAAACAGAAGATTGCCAAAAAGGGAGAAGAAGTTATGGGAGTCAGAAAAATTCATAAGAAATCATGTAAAACATCCTTGAATAGACAGGGAACCCCACAATAAAAGAGTGTAGGGTCCTCAAGATGGCTCAGAGCATAAAAGCCACTTCTGCCTGATGACTTGAGTCTGGCCGCAGAACCCACATGATAAGAGAGAACTGACTCCTAAAAGTTGCCCTTTGACCTCCACACAAGCTCAGCAGTGGTTATACTCCCCCAAAACAATTGTTAAAAAAAAATTTAAAACCAAGGGAATCCTCTTCAATGATTGCCTCTTACCTGAAATCACGTTCCTAATGATTGAGAAAACTGACTCAGGACGACTAAGGTAAAATGTTAGCTCTAGGGGCTGGGAATACAGTTCACTTAGTAAACTGCTGGATGTGCTTGGCTTCAGAAAGGGTTGGCAAAGAGAAACAAAAATACATATGGAGGCTGTGGTAGCTAATTTCTTCTGGAAAGAGGGGACCTCAACTGAGGAATTACTTTTATCATACTGGCCTGTGAGTGTGTCTATGGGACATTTTCTTGAAGCTGATTAATGTGGAATGGCTCAGCCTACTCTGAACAGTCTCATTCCTAGGCAGGTGAGCCTGGCCTGTTTAAGAATGGTAGTTAAACATGGGTCTGGGAGCAAGCCAGTAAGCAGCTTTGCTCCATGAATTTCTGCCTAAAGTACCTGCCTTGACTTCTTTTGATGATAGACTCTAGAGCCCTGTAAGCAAAAATAAACCCTTTCCTCCCCAAATTTTGGTTATTGTGTTTATCACAGCAACAGGAAGCAAAATAGAACAGTAGGTTTATATAAAGATATAAATAGAAACAAGAAGAAATCATGGGTTGTATTTTAATATCTGACAAGGTACCATTTGGAGACAGAAACATCAAACAATATTGAAATGGACTCTTGGTGTTTCTAAAGCTTGCATAATACATAGCAATTGCCTCTAAAGTCAACAAGACTTTCGTGGTTAAAGATGTCAACAATTCACAAGTCTCATAATGTTCATTAAACTTACAGGACCCAGAAGGCTCTTCCGACAGGTTATGTAAATAATTACTATTGCTGGAGAGAAGAGACTTTTAAATCAGAAGGGTTACTTGTGAGCCACACAGGGAGCTCGAGAGGCAGCTTTTATCATTTATGTTGGGATGAGTGTTTTGGTAATGTGTTATTCACGTCCTGTAAAGTAACATCTCACTCACACTCCTGTAAGTGACCTCCCAAACTTGCTCGCTCACTAAGGTAGGCTTAGGTGGAATTTTTTATTTGGTCTGACATTAGTGCCCTATTTGGAACAAATAGACATTTGTTTACATCTTTTTAGGAAAAGTCACAAGCCACTAAGATTCTTAATGAGTAAACAGCCCCAGTTACCAATGTCTACTTACCACATTCACTTTTGTAATGTAGAAATACAGGATGTCAGAAAGAGAGAGAGAGAGAGAGAGAGAGAGAGAGAGAGAGAGAGAAAATGAAGAGAGATTTCACATGTCAAATGGAGAAAATGATAAACTTGAAAATGTAAATCTTATAGCTATATAGTAAAATTTTTACTTGATATAGAGAATGTATATATTATATTAGCAGTCACAGACTATCTGTGGACACTCATCATACATAAGGGGGGAAGAATCACAGAAATTTCTACAAAGTAGAAACAGAATCATGAGAAAGAAGCCCAGGCCAAAGTCTCCTTCTGCAGCTTAGAAAATTAAGACTGAGAGTCAATATGTAATTTCCCAAGACTTTCTAGCTTATTATAACCAGTTTTATGATTTGGGCTGAACTACAATTTCCAACGCAAATAGTTCATGTGTCATTCATCCTATGACTTGTGAAACTGAACCAAGAGGAGGTCGGAGTAAGCAGGCGCATCACTTTAGAAGAGAGTTAGATGCATTGGAGAGGACGCACTGGGGATCTTGAAGTGAATCTTGTGTTTTCTCAGAAGTATCTGAAGCAGCAAGCATGGTGGCACCGCTGCTCTTGCAGAGGACCCAGGTTTGTTTCCAGTAACCACAGTGTGACTCGGGGACATTTGGGGATCTGGTACTTTCTTCTTACCCCCGTGAAAACTGGATATGCATGGTGTGCATATGAACATGCAAGCAAACACAGACATCTAAAAATACAATATTCTTTTAACAATTACATTTGAAATAAAAAAAAAAATACTCCATGCTGCCTTCTGAGCTGACCGGAATCACACATCAATGGATTTTTCAGCACCATTCACAACAGAAAAATTGTAGAACCAGCCTAAGTGTTCACCAACAAATTAATGGACAATAAAATATTTTCTATACATAGAGTGGGAACATTTTCCATAAAGGATGAAGCCATATTGTTTGTGGGGAAATGAATACAACTGGGAATAACCATATTAAATGGATTCAGATAGTCTCAGAAAGACAAATATTGTACGTTTTCTCCCATTTGTGCTGCTTTGTTTTATGTAGATACATAATCCATATATGTATCTATGCATGAAACCAGCAGTAAAATTACTGATACAAAAGTGTTAATGGGGGTAGAATATGAAAGGGAATATACAAGGCATACAAAATAGACTTGCATGAAAACTTAAAATATAAATTATTTAAAAAGAAAAATTCTGTGGATAATGCACTTGTGCACTGCTAAGATTTGTCACTCATATTAGTTTAATAAAGTGCTGTTTGGCCAGTAGCCAGGCAGGAAGTATAGGTGGGGAGCCCAGAGTAGGAGAATTCTGGGAAGAGGAAAGGCAGAAACACAGATGCAACATGGATGCAGAGGGAGCAAGATGAGAATGTCTCACTGAGAAAAGCTACCAAGCCACATGGCTAAACATAGACAAGAATTATGAGTTAATTTACATTATAAGAGCTAGTTAATACTAAGCCTGAGATAATAGACCAAACAGTTTATAATTAATATAAGTCTTTGTGTCTCTCTTTGGGACTGAATGACTGTGGGATATGGCAGGATATGGCAGAAACTTCCTTCTTGAAAAAAAAAGAACTACTTTGTAGTATATTAACACTTATTAAAAAACAGAAGAAGCAAAGGAATGAATTATGAAGCTACATACACAGATCACTTTGCAGTCATCAGGGAACAGCTGAAGAAATGAAGGCTTGCCCAGAAAGGAGAAAATGCTGTAATGAAGGAACTGAGTTTTTCCAGTTCCCTCCTGTATTAGAGCTGCATCAGTGACTGTACAATGCAGAATTCTGAATCGTGTGTGTGTGTGTGTGTGTGTGTGTGTGTGTGTGTGTGTGCGAGAGAGAGAGAGAGAGAGAGAGAGAGAGAGAGAGAGAGAGAGAGAGAGCATCTCTGGTGTCATCCTCAGTGGTGTGATCTACCTCCTCTGAGACTGGGTCTCACCTAGACTTGCTATAGAAATAGGGTCCTCCTGTTTCCTTTGACTCAGTCCTGGGATTACCAGTGTGTACCACCATGCCTGGTATTTTTATGTATGTTTTGGGGACAAAACTCAGGTCCTTGTGCTTGTAAGACTAGCACTCTAACTCGGCAATTTGTCCAGCTCCTGAGACCTACTTCTAGGAAAACAAAAAATTACAAGTATCGACATTCTCACAGAGCAAGAATACAGAATTGCAACACAGCATCATAAATAGTTCTAATTTAGAAAGTCAAGATTGCAGCAGGAATGTACAACTCGCTCACCTTCCTTTTAAATTCTTTGACTACACTAAATATGTCAAGGTATTCCAAGGATAGAGATAATAGCCCGATGTGGTGAAGGCAGGTAGATGTCAATGGCTTTGAAGCCACCTTGATCTGCAAAGTGAGTTATGGGCCAGCCAAGGCTACATAGTGCAACCCTGTCTCATAGACAACAACAAAAGAAGAAGAAAGGTAAGGTAGGCATGGACTCACACCTGTAATTCTCAGCACCCAGGGGGATGGGAAGGAGGGTCATGAATTAGTAGCTATCCAGAGTAATACAACAAGACCATCTATCATCTATCTATCTATCTATCTATCTATCTATCTATCTATCTATCTATCTATCTCTATCATCCATTCATATATCTTTCTATCTTCTTATTATTCATCCATCTGTCTATCATCTATCATCCATATATATCCATCTGTCCATCTATCCATTCATTTATCATCATGTATCTATCTATCTATCATCTATCTATCTGTCTATCATCTATATATCTATCTCTTTTAGAAAGGAGTTTACAGAGAGGGAAGATGGCAGATTTTAGGCACTCAAAAAATACCCGAATCTCCATGAGCCTGAAAGAGCATTGAAAGTGCATAGCTCCAGGGAGGAACAGGTAACATGGAACAGCACAGGAGCACAACAGACAAACTATGTGAACCCGAAAAACTTCAGAAGTGTGTAATCCGCAGAGGGCTCTAACATTGGACAACACAGAAGGGAAGGAAGAGACACCTCCCCACTGTGGTATTAGCAAGAAGAGGAAGGCTTGCATGGGTACACAGCCTGGACCACTCGCTGTACAGCATAGTTTCTGAGTGGAAGGGTGTCTGTGACCCATGCTACAGGAGCTGCAAAGGTTCACTGTGCTTCCGGCATGCTCACGGGCACTACAATGAAGGGCTTCATAAGCGTCTTCCCAGCAAATCCTTCAGCAAGAGGCCCTGGGTATTTATATCCACTCTTCTCCACTAGCTAAGTGAGTGTCCACCCCGAGAATCGGAAGGCTGGTTGTGACTCACACGCTGGCTCCTAGACACTATCTCCTCTGGGAAGCGTGGGCCAAGCTGAGAGAAGAGTGGAAAGTGCTTGGGGGTGGGAACTCTGACCCTACCTCTGGGAGGAGGATCAAGTGTAGTTGTGCAAAAATGAAGCAAGGGGACTGGGAATACCATGGCCAGGATGTAGACGCCTGTACCCTGCTTTATCAGAAGAAATTGGTTCAGCTTGATTGCCTCTACCTCTCAGAGCCCGGGAGGTAGGAACACCCTACCTGGGCATTTCCCACTGCCATGCCCATATGCAGAGTGCTGATGTTATCAGGCAGACCCCAAGTAACTGGTCCTCCATACTGGCTAATGGCAACAGCCTGAGGCCGCCCATGTCCTCCCCTGGTAGCTCTGTTGGCATAAATATGGAGAACTCTGACAGGAAGTCGGCCTAACTGCCATGATAGTGCACACCTCAGCAGGATGGAGTATAACCCGCGACAGTCCTTTGGGGCCAACTTGTGTGTCTTCTATACCAAGTACACTTCAAAAAGATGTTGGCGGGGTAGGGGGGCACATAGCATCCACATCTTCTTCCTTTTCAGCAGAATAATAATATTGGTTTTTCTTGCTCTGTATTGGTTTTCTTGTGTTTTTCATTTGCTGTTATTTCTTTAAATTCAGAAATTTCTTTTTTAAACTTTTTAAAATCTTATTTTAAAAGATTTTAATATATATATATATATCCTATGTATGAGTGCTCTAAAGATATACCTGCACGCCAGAAGAGAGAATAAGATCCTATTACAGATGGTTGTGAACCACCATGTGGTTGCTGGGAATTGAACTCAGGACCTCTGGAAGAGCAGCCAGTGTTCTTAACGCCTGAGCCGATCTCTCCAGTCCCCTCATTGTTATTTCTTATACCTTCAGTTCACAAGTCTTCCCACCTTGATTCTTTTAGTTTCTTTTCCCTGTCTGCACTTCTCTTTTAATGTAATTATTAATGCCTTTACCTTTACTAATTTTTAAAATCCAAGTTCATCTGAGAATTATCCTCAGCCCCTTTTCCCTAGTTGCTTATTGAGGAGGTAGCTGCTGTCCTTCAGTTATTTTTCTATCACATTTAGACATCTGGCTTGCTTCTCAATTGTCGTTATTAAGATCTCCATTCTCCTCTCTGAATGGCCGTGGGGACTGAGAGTTAAAACTGAAAGTAACACACATATCCAAAGATGCCCAAGTACAATGTAGACATGGAATAAAGATGAAAGGCAATAAAATCGGATTCTTAAAAAAGTTCACAATCCCTCAGCAATCAAGTCAAAACATTAAAATAGTTAGAATGTGTGCTGGTTTGAAGAGGTATAGTCCGCATAGACTCAGGCGCGTGAATGTTTGGTCCATAAGAAGTGTTACTATTGGGAGGTGTGACTTTGTTGGAAGAAGTGTGTCACTGTGGAAGCAGGCTTTGGGTTCTTATATATGTTCAAGCTATGCCTGGTACACAGTTTATTTCCTGCTGCCTGAGAATCAAGATGTAGAACTCTCAGCTCCTTCTCTAGCACCATGTCTGCTTGTGTGCCACATGCTTCTCACCCTGAAAATAGACTAAACCTCTGAACTGTAAGCCAGCCCCAGCCCCAGGAAAATGTTTTCCTTTATAAAAGTTGTCACAGTCATGCTGTCTCTTCACATTCAAAGAAATCTGGACTGAGACAGCATGCCAGACAACTACTTGAAAGTCTACTACAGAAAAAAATGACCCCAAGGAAGATGTACATGAACAAATGGAACAAGGAAAACAGTTTAAAGGAACACTGAACTGGAACAGAAATTCAGGACATTGTACAAGAAAAACTGGCAACAACATTGGAACTCTAAATGTTTCTGATTTTTTGGAAATGAAAAGGAAAAAATAAACAAATACATAAATAAAACAAATAAACAGAAAACCCTCAGTAGAAAGCATCATTGACAAACAAAATCAAGTAGCTGAAGGAACATTAGAGATTGGAGAGTGAGGGATTATCCCATTCAGAAAATTTAAAAAGTAAACTATCACGATCAGTGTAATGGTCTGTCTTGTCCCTTTAAAAGACAAGCCTTGCCCACTCTGTCCACCTCGGAAACAGGGGAATCTTCCTTCTGCTTCCAGTCTGAGCTCGATTCCCTTTCCATTTCTCTCCCTTTTCCCCACTACTCCCCTCCCCCTCCTCTGTGTCTCTGTCTCTGTCTCTGTCTCTGTCTCTCTCTCTCTCTCTCTCTCTCTCTGTTCTTCACCCTTCTTTCCTTTCCCCTTCCCTTCCATAACCCACTAAATAAATATCCACACTCTGCATGGTGTGCCTTATCCATCCAGGTCTCTAACCAGCCACATGGTTCCCTGCCTGGACCGGCTGCCTCCATGGCCCACCATGGTCTCGTGGCCCGCTGCTAACTGCCACCCTTAGGGACTCACAGCATTTCTGCCGCTGTGGCCCTCACGGAACAGCGCCGTTTTACTTAAACCATAACAATCAGTACTTTTCAGAACATGAGAACACAAACAGGAGACCTCTCCTGAGAAACTACAGAAACATTTTAAGACCTAGGCTCAGGCAATGTAACTTTCTTTTTTTTTAACTATACCTTTTTTTTTTTCTTTCCACTTTATTTTATTTTTGAGGCATGGCCTCTCTTTTATGTAGCTCTGTCTGTCCTAAGTGCACACAGATCCCACTGTGTCTGCCTCCCAAGTGCTGGGATTAAAGAACTGCACCACCACAGCCAGCTTCTAAATATAACTTTCTTAAGGCAACTCTAATACCTCAGCTTCTAACAGGAAGTTTGGCAAGAGGGATGATGTTAAGATGAAGTGTTTCCACACTTCAAAAGACACAAGAACCTCTGACTCTATCCATTCTCCTATAAATGATAACATTCATGTGAGGCGGCTTAACAGGTAAGGGCACTGCTGCCAAGTCCGATGACCTAAGTTTGACTCCATAGGCTCATATGGTGGAAAGAGAGAATTGAAGCCTCTGACTTCTGGTCTCCACCCACACACGCAAGTGCCCACACAGAACAGATTCACTCTGGCTTCCTTTGAAATGCAGAAGCACTTCATTTTAGTGTGTTAAGTCAAACAAGTATTCTGCTTCCTCTAATATGTGGGATGTAGGAGGAGAAGCCACAGACAGAAGCCAGTGGGAACTAGAAGGGATATGGAAAGGAACAGGGCATGGAGGACTAAGAGAGAATGAGAAGGGGTGGCATATGACCAAAGAGCCGTGTTCTATGCCAGGAAACACTGCAGTGAATCCCTCTGTGAAATTAAATATAGACTAATTTTAAAAAAAGAAAGCGACTTTATTAGAGTTTTAGAGAGAAATCCCAGGAAAGAAAAATGTAACTGGAAGTCACTGAGAAGACGTGTTTCATGATGCTGCAAGATTCCATCCCCTGACAAGAACCCTAAGAATCAGATGAGCTAGTGCAGACGGAGACACGTGGAAAGGGAACCAAAGACCCTGAAGAGCTTCAGTGACCCATGGTGCAGTATCCCATGACGTCAAAATAACAGGGAGAAGACAGGCAAAAACTCTAGCTTTGAATAATGACTGAGAATATTTCCAGTTTGATAAGGGTTAGAAGTCCACAAATCCGGAAAAACCCATGCACTCAAGTTCCTTTCCCCAGCTGTTACTGGGCTTCTTAAATTGCTTAGAATAGAATAAAACGCAACATACCTTCCAGGGAGTCATTAAACGATTGGCCCCACTTGGCAAAATAAACGGAGCCACCTCCAGCCCAGGGAAAGCAAATCAGCTTAAAAACTGCATTAGGCTTTTGATACAAGCAGTTCAAGATGTTTTCATTCCTAGAACAAAAATTCAATTACATTTAGCCTCACAGAATTATATCAGATAAGAGTTCGAGATTGAATTAGGTGTGTTTTCATGATAATTCTCATTTGCCTACATAGTGCATGTGTTCAAACATGAAGTAACTGCCTTTCTTTTTCCAAAAAGCAAGGTCCCAAAGGTTTAACTGGTCTATGTGTTATGATTTGAATTCAACGGGACATAGATAGAATGATGAAGTGTCCATTTGTTTTGTATGTTCAACTATAGAAATGTAACTCTCAATTCAGACATGCCTTCTTTCACAGTTGAGGAAATGGTTTTATTCAAGCAGCTCATAGGCTTTAGTCTCAGGGCATCCGTCACCACCAAGAGACACTTCCTAAATCACCTACAAATTTTCCACGACGTGAAATTTTACTACTTTTTAAGTGTTTGCTAGAAATTCTTTTGAACCTGTGCGTAATGTCACTAGAAATTTTACAGCAAGATCAAGCATTACAAGAACTGATCATAGAAGAAGTTCTGTTTTAAACAGCCATCCTATATGGATATGTGATATATTTTTATTCTCCACAATTTAAACCTCTATTAACAAGCTTCCAAATTGATCCTAAATTTCTTTTTTTTTTTTTTTTTTTTTTTTTTTGGTTTTTCGAGACAGGGTTTCTCTGTGGCTTTGGAGCCTGTCCTGGAACTAGCTCTGTAGACCAGGCTGGTCTCGAACTCACAGAGATCCGCCTACCTCTGCCTCCCGAGTGCTGGGATTAAAGGTGTGCGCCACCATCGCCCAGCTGATCCTAAATTTCTTACAAAGATATGTAAGCCTCCCAGGTGAGAAATCATATGCCTTACAATAATTATTTTAAGTCTGTTATGTCTTTTTTTTAAAAGGTATCAGTATTACAATTTGGATTGTAAATGTCCCTCAAAATTCATGTTTTAAAGGCTTGGTCCCCAAATGATGGCGTTATTGGGAGCTGGAGGAACCTTCAAGAAGTGGAAACTGGTGGAAGGAAGAGAGGTGACTATAGGTATTCCATTGAAGGGGTCTTGGCATTCTGGCCTACTTTCTTTCTTAGCCTTTTTCCTCTCCCCTTTCCTCCCTCACTCTGCCATGCATTCCCTTGCATGTCCACTTTTCTACAGGACCAACATAGCAGGGCTCAAGAACTATGGACTGAAAAAAAATGTGATTTTCTCCAGCAGTGGTGGCACACACCTTTAATCCCAGGACTAGGGAGGCAGGGGCAAGAGGATCTCTGTGAGTTCAAGGCCAGCCTGGTCTACAAGAGCTAGTTCCAGGGCAGGCAACAAAGTGACACAGAGAAACCCTATCTCGAAAAACAAAAAAAAAAAAATGTGATTTCTGTACGAATAAATGTTTTTCCTGAACATGTGTGCCATGTGCATGCAATCCCCAAAGCAGCCAGAAGAGGGCATCAGAACTACTAGACCTGAAGTTACAGGTTATCGGCATCATCTGGGTGCTGAGAACTAAGCCTGGCTTCTCTGCAAGAGTAACAGGTGCCCTTAACTGCTGAGCCATCCCTCCAATCAAATCTTTTCTCTTTGACATTTGGTCTTGATAAACAGTTTTTAAAAAAATGACAAACTGAGATCTTTCTAGATGCTCTGTTCTCACAGGGGACTTTTGACTTTATAATAAAATAACTGAGACCATGAGGAAAGTGAGACACTTAATACATGGTCATGGGTGAAAGTTTCTTTGGGATAAAAAAAAAAGGAGCAGGAGGAGGAGCCCACAAAGTGCTGTGAGCTAGCTCACTACCAGTCACCTCAGCATCGCTTGGGACGGTCGGTCTGGCTACACCTTAGAGCTGGGAACTCCTTTTCAGTTATCGGTTTCCTGTCGGCTTTATGATATCCAAGCATGGGAACCCAGGCCGGAGCCAGGACGTCTGCTGGAACAGGCCCAGGCCAACGACCTCTACCAGAGCAGGTCCAAGCAGGTGACCTCCTCCAGAGTAGGCCCCAACCGGCCACCTATGCTGGACCAGGCCTGAGTCAGCCACCTCAGCAGGAGCAGGCCCAAGCAAGCAATTTCTGTGGGAGCAGGTCCGAACAACATTTGGGATTGCAGAATGACACCCGGGAATGCTGAGCAACCTCTTGAACCCTGAATGACCTCCAGGGTAACTGGAACCAGCCCTGACTGCACCACGAGGAGCAACCATCTAAGCCTTGGACACACTGGCACCTGGAAGATTGACCACCAGAGTCATAGCTTCAACCACACCAATGAGAGGAAAAGATGGGTAGACAAGGTAAGAACACACTAAACACCACAAAGAGCAGCACTACAACTGCAAGACTTGAACACCCCAAAATAGGTGAAGTAGAAGAAAATGACTTAAACAATAACTTTAGGAGAATGTTTGAGGCCCTTAAAGAGGAAATGAAACTTTTTTCAAATAAATGAAGGAAAAGACAAACAAGAAATTGAAAGAAAACCAAGAAAAGGCAATCAAACATATGAAAGAAATGATTCAAGACTTAAAAACTGAAATATGGACAATAAAGAAAACACAAACAGACTGAATTCTGGAAGTGGAAAAATATGGGAAAACGATCAAGAACCACAAATGCAAGCATGAACACCAGAATAAAAGAGATGGAAGAGAGAATCTCAAGAAAATATTAACCAGGCGGTGGTGGTGCACGCCTTTAATCCAAGCACTCGGGAGGCAGAGGCAGGTGGATCTCTGTGAGTTCGAGGCCGGCCTGGTCTACAAGAGCTAGTTCCAGGACAGGAACCAAAAAGCTACGGAGAAACCCTGTCTCGAAAAATCCAAAAAAAAAAAAAAAAAAAAAGAAAGAAAGAAAAGAAAAGAAAATATTAAATCTAACAAAAGCTTAACATAAAATACCCAGGAAGATTGGGATATCATGAAAAGACCAAACCTAAGAATAAAAGGGATAGAAAAAGGAGAAGTCCAACTGAAAGGTACAGAAAATATATTCAACAAAATCACAGACAAAAACTTTCCCAACCTAAAGAAAGATGTACATATGAAGATACAAGAAGCTTACAGAATATCAAATAGATCGGACCAAAAATAATAGTCCCTTCGCCACATAATAATCAAAACACAGAACATACAGAATGAAGAAAGAATATTAAGAGCTGCAAAGTATAAAGATCAAATAACATATAAATGCAGACCTATCAGGATTATACCTGACTTCTCAATGGAAACAATTAGAGTCAGAAGATCCTGGTCAAGTGTTATGCAGACATTAAGAGACCACGGATGCCAGGCCAGACTACTAGACAGCAAAACTTTCAGTCACCATAGACGGACAAAATGAGATATTCCATGGCAGAACCATATTTAACCAATACCTAGACACACACCCAGTCCTACACAAAATACTAGAAGGAAAAATCCAACCCAAGAAAGTTGACTACATCCACAAAAACACAGACAATAGATGATCTCACAGCAGCAAACCCCAAAGAAAGGAAAAACACACACAATAACATCACCAACAATGAAAACTAAAATAACATGAACTAACAATCACAGGTCATTAATATTGTTTAATATAAATGGATTCAACTCACCTATAGAAAGACACAAGCTAACAAATTGGATATGAAAACAGAATCCATCCTTCTGCTACACACAAGAAACACACCTCAACCTCAAAGACAGACATTACCTCAGAGTAAAGGGTTGGGAAAAAATTCCAATCAAATGGACCTAAGAAACAAGCTGGTGTAGCTATCCTAATATCTAACACAATAGGCTTCAAACTAAAATCAATCAAAAAAGACAAAGAAGGACATTTCATATTAGTTACAGGAAAAATCCATCAAGAGGAAATCTCAATACTGAATGTTTGTGCCCCAAATACAAAGGCACCCTTATATATAAAATAAACACTACTAAAGCTTAAATCACACATTAAACCCACACACACTAATAGTGGGAGACTTCAACACCCCACTCTCACGACTAGACAGGTCGGTCAGAAAGAAACTTAACAGAAATAAGGAAACTAACAGGTGTTATGACTCAAATGGACTTGGGTAGGTAGAATTAACATAGTAAAAATGGCAATCTTACTAAAAGCAATCTACAGATTCAATGCAATGCCCATCAAAATCCCAGAAAAAATTCTTCACAGACCTCAAAAGAAAAATGCTCAACTTCATATGGAAAAGCAAAAAACCCAGGATAGCCAAAACAATCCTGTACAATAAAAGAACTTCTGAGGCATCACAATCCCTGACCTCAAACTCTACTACAGAGCTACAGTACTGAAAACAGTCTGGTATTGGCAAAAAAACAGATAGGAGGACCAATGGAACTGAATCAAAGACCCAGATATCAGTCCACACACCTACGAAAGCCTGATTTTTGACAGATGCAAAAAATATACAAGGGGAAAAAAGCATGTTCAACAAATGGTGTTGGCATAACTGGATATCAACATGTAGAAGAATGAAAATAGATCCGTATCTATCGCCATGCACAAAAGTCAAGTCCAAATGAATGAAAGACCTCAACATAAAACCAATCACACTGAACCTCACAGAAAAGAAAGTGGGAAGTACACTTGAATGCATTGGCACAGGGACCCACTTTTTAAATTTTACCCCAGTAGCACAGACACTGAGAAAAACAAAAATAAACGGGACCTCCTGAAACTGAGAAGCTTCTGTAAAGCAGAGGACACAGTCAACAAGACAAAACAACAGCCTGCAGAATAGAAGATCTTCACCAACCCTACATCAGATAGAGGACTGATCTCCAAAATATACAAAGAACTCAAGAAACTGGTCATCAAAAGAACAAATAATCCAATAAAAAAATGGAGTACAGACCTAAACAGAGAACTCTCAAAAGAGGAATCTAAAATGGTTGAAAGACACTGAAGGAAATGCTCAACATCCTTAGCCATCAGAGAAATGCAAATCAAAAAACTCTGAGAGCCCATCTTACACCTGTAAAAGAATGGCTAAGATCAAAAGCACTGATGACAGCTTTTGCTGGAGAGGATGTGGGGGAAACCTCTCTAAATCTAATAAGGTAATCTAACAAAGCTGGGGGCCTGAAGCAACAAAGATGGAGTTAGGACAGCCAGGAATTCCCAGAGGTAGCCTACCTGGTTATCTTGGTGTGGACTCTTGTCTCCATGCTCTGAGTTGATAAGAAGCTGCTGCTCTCAGCAATCTGCTGTGTCCTTGTTAAATTCAACTTCCCCTTAGACATAAAAATCTCCTGTAAATTTTATGTGCACAGAGTGACCAGATTTCTTTTAAATCCGTTGACTATGATGATCATTCCAAAATCTGCTTTAAGGAGGATGGCGAAGAGGAGGAAAGCAGGAGGAAGAAGTAGGGAAAGGAAGAAGTAGAGGAGGAAATGTATGAAGAGGAAGAGAAAGGAAGGGAAAACAGGTTAGTGGCAACACAGTATATGGCAGCCTGGTGTTAGTGGCCTTTGTTTATAGACCGTTGTTACAGGACGTTTAAATAACGTTCATAAAGACAGAAACACATCTTTTGTAATGCCCAGCAGCTAAACATGCCCATGTGAGAAGACAGAACCTACTGGGAAGTGAGAGCAAAGATATTTGTCTTGAAAATGGGTATCTTAGTTTTCTGGGAGTTTATAAAGTTTTTGCCCTTTTACGTATTAAGAAAGACTTAGAGATTCTTTTAAAAAGAAGCAGGGGAGACTTATTACTAGATTTACTAGATCTGGTACTTTGAAACTACTGTTGCTTTAAAAAAGAAAAGATTAGCTTCTTGAACCACAAGATAACTAAAAGTTAAATTAAACAAAAAGAAGACAACAGCCAGGTGGTGGTGGCGCACACTTTTAATCCCAGCACTCGGGAGGCAGAGGCAGGTGGATCTCTGTGAGTTTGAGCCTGGTCTATAGAATGAGTTCCAGTACAGCTAAAGCTACATACGAAAACCCAGTCTCTAAAAACAAAAACAAAAATCAAAAAACAAAAAAAGAAAAGAAAAACACAACAACAGAATACCTGGCATCTCTGACTCCTCTTTCTGTCTACCTCTTTTACTTTGGGTCCTAATCCTACCTGTCCAAAGCATTTAACTGTATTAAACATTCAGAGCATTCATTTACAATCTGCAGCTAACCTAGGTTAAAGGCATCAAGAGTCATTGCTTGAAAGCAGCAGTAACTGTGGGATCAAAGCCAGCAAAGGCCCACAGAACAGAAAGCTGGCCAAGCAAGCAGGACTCCATGCCAGTGAGCATCACTGTGAAGCAGATGCCATCATCCGAAGCCAGCTCACACTTCTCAGCCGATTGCAGTGATTGCAACTCTGTGGAGCTGTCTGGAAGAACCAGAATGGAGACCATGGTCAAGCAGACCCCTCAGGCCAGAACTCCTCATTATCACGTCTCTCCCCTGCACCCCTATTCTCCCTTTGTTTAAACTCCTTACTCTTATCGGTACCCTGGAGGGGGACATGGGGGTCACTGGACCCTTTCAGTCCACGTGAATGGAATCTTCCCTCCTCTGCCTTTCATTGTCACTTTAATTGGCACCGTCAGATTGATAGTACAGCCTAAAGTGTTTGGGCCGCTGAAACCCAGGGTTTTACCCTTAGACTCCAGTAACACTAGTGTTAAGAATATCAAACTTCTAATCTTGTAAGTTTCCAACATTCAGTTAAAGAATATAAAAATTACTGTAGTTCATAAATGTATAAATGACACATAATTTATAAGGATTCTTAACCCACTTACCGCCTAGGAGTCCCCTGAATCCCTGGCAGTCATGTAAAACTATGATTTCATTCACAGCCTCGGTGGTGGATCTCAGGAGTGTTGGGGAGAGCTGAGGCTCGACCTTCAACTATGCTCCCTTACAACAGAATGGCCCCCGCACTGAGAGAAACAGGGCGCCTGCTCACAGAGGGTGGAGAGCTGGCCTTTTATCCCTAAGAACTCAGAGTCATCCTAACCACTCAGGTGACTCACCTTGATAATTTACTAGGCGGTCCTTGACTCTGTGAGGAAGGTTTTGCTTCTTAAAAAACAATCCCAAATGCAGCTTGTCATGGTGTTGCCTGCTTGCGATTCCAGCACACAGGAAGCTGGATCATGGTGATGAGAAGCTGGAGATTAGCCAGAGCAAGAGAGAAAGTAAATCAAAATGAAAGAATAAAACCAAACAGAAGAGCCTGTGATCAGTTATGCTGGAGGAGATCAAGCGTTACTTAGGGCCCAAATTTATTATTCAACAAGTATTTCCTCAAAGTCAAGATCATCAAGATCATCTACATCTTTTCTCAATAGTATCAGGATCCAAAGGTAAAGCGGTAAGGATTCTCTCCAAGAGAAACACAGGAAACTTGGGTTTGCTGTTGAAGCAGAGGAACGAAGGCAGATGGATGATATTGAAGAAGCAAGAGGTCAGAGTTTACCAGGACTGAGACATGACACCAGGCTAAAAGTGAAACATGCCCAGCAGATGCGGAGAAAGACAGACAACAGAGAAACCTGCTTTCACATGTGCAGCAGCGAAACTGAAGGCAAAAGAAAAACAAGCAACGGGTAAAGTGAACAGAGCCGTCGAGAGTGAGGACGCAGGATGCAGATGCTATCTTCGAGGAGCAACAGTTGAGCAGCTAACAATGTAGGTAGAAGAGCCCCAGAAATGAAACACAGTAGAATTTATTCCCAAGCAAAGGAAAGAAGCACACGGTGTGTATGTGTGTCTGTGGTGAACCTTGCAAATGTTAAGTATGTCCTTTAGCACTCTGCTACAAAAGCACCTCGGACAGCATGAGATTCTCAGACCCAGAAAAAAATGTCTTAAAAACCTGAGCAACTGGTCCCACAGCCATGTACATGTTGGAACACTAACAAGACTTAGTGGGTTAGCATAAAAAAGGACATGAAGTCGGGAGAAGGACATGTCGGGATATGGGGAGAGTTGGAGAGGGAAAAATGGTGAAGGGCAGATGTGGTCATATTTCATTGTATATCTATATGAGAATTTCAATAACAAAAATTTAAATAAGCACATGGAAGAATAAACCATTGTCTACACAAATTAATGCTAATTAAATTATTATTTACAACTTTCCTTGTAGTTTAGAAGAAATTGTAAAGTATTGAAAATAAGCTGCAAATGTAACAGAGCAGTAGGCCGGGGAATCAAAAAAGAAAATTACGTTCGTTTATGAAAAGGATAAACAAACAAACAAACAAACAAATAAAATAAAATAAACCAGCCAATGTAAAAACACTTACACAGTGGTGGAAATTAGACTATCGCTAAGCAGCAGACTGGTCAGGAGGCAAAGCCACTCGCTGGGAAGATGTGGGACGTGTGAGGAAATGGGAGGGGTGAACAGTGTGTGACAGAGCGAACAGGGACAATGGCAGCCTAAGTATAACTGTAATGTGCGCTGAGTCTAATCTGCATTTCAAGTGTCAGACCTAACACATAAGTCAGCAATCTGTGACGAAAGAGCCCTCCCTACATTAGCTAATATTTAGACTTTGGTAAGTTTGTAGATTTCCACTTCTAAAGCAAGGCCTTAACAACAACAAAAACAACCAGTCACCAAACGTGGAAGAGAAAAATATTCAGTCAGTCTAAAAGGATAGGAAGAAGGAACGTAGAGTGGATATAAGAGAGAGAAAGCCCAAGCCAAGGTCAAGTTTAAACCTGAGTTCTGCCCCCGGAACCCATGTAAAAGTAAGAGACTTCACAAAGTTAGCCCCTGCATGACCACCGTGGCACACAAGAGCCTGCATTCCGTTCGTGGCATGCACAATAATAATAAGCAAAATAGAAAATTAAAAGAAGCTAATATCAGAGTGAGGCACCTCTCCCACTCATTTAAATTGTTTTTAATTACAAATATTTATTTTTGTGGGGGTGTTTTGGTGTGGGGGAGTGTGTGTGCAAGGGCCACAGCATTTGTGGGCTTCCCTTTAGCTTGGTCCCCATTTTTAATATGGTCTCCTCAAACTGCCACATGTTCTCTGTCTGGATACAATCCTGCACATCATGTCCACGGACCTGCACTCCGCACCTGTGAAGTCCAAGAACACCTTGTCTTTCCAGCTCAGTTCAACCGTGATGCTCAGGTCTAACTTGTCACCTGCTGACTTGACTCTCTAGTAGCGCCTCAGCGACTTTCCAGCTGGGTTTGTCAGCCTCCTAACTAGTCCCTGCATCTGTCTCAGCTCTCTCCCTCTGCTCTAGTAAAGCCTCCTTTAACTCTGCCGTGGCCGTCTTAACCCGTTTGTAGCCGTTCTGTGACCTACATTAGTCACACATATCGCTGTGTTGAGCATTGAGTAGTCCAAGAGTTAAAATTGTTTTACTCATAGCCAATACTGACTCCCCTCCTCCCAGAAGCTGTCAGCTGCCTGTAGAGCCTCACTGAGGACTGGGGGCTCTTGAGCTTCTTTCCATTGCTTTCTCAAATGTCAGGGGTGGGAGGGGGTTGATCTTGTGCAGGTTTTATGGAGACCAGAGCTGCGCTGAATCGTGAAGGCAGCAGTCTGCCTTTTTTAGCACAGCAGTGGCACCAGCCTGCATTGGTTTTAATGTTCTCTGGACACCTCGCCAACAGCTTGAGGGAAGTATTCTATAGCTGGCATTGATCTTTCTATTTGGCTTCTGGAATGAGCGTAATCCCTTACGTGTGTAGGGGAAGAATTAATATTAGCCATTGTGATAGCGTCACTGCAAACAGCCATTTGGCAGAGAGATCAGGACTTCTTGGCAAACTGCAGCTAACGAAAACAATGTAGCTTTGAATTTGAATTTGTTGTTACTCAATAAATTCTGACATTTTGGAAAGATGCAAAAATACCCATTTATGTTTCTACCACAGAGAACTCATGAGGGTCAAGAAGCTCCACATCTCATGTTGATGATTTTATCATAACGTGCTATGAAACGAGGGAGGGGAAAGCTACCAGTAACTCCAAAGTAGGCATGTTTTGGACTCAAGATGGCTATCGATATGTCAATCCGGATCCTGGTAATAACTTGGTAAGTACTTAGTGTTCATATTGGCTGATGTGATGGTAGAGTGTGAGCTTCTGGAAGGCTTCCAGGTTCTTGAATTCTAGAATTAAAAAGCTGAGTAGAGCCACATAGTTATAGTAGAAACAAGGACAATCCACTGG